ATAATATATATATAATATAATATAAATAATATAATATATACAATATTCAATATAGATAACATAATATATATAATATAATATATATAATATAATTAATATATATTATATATATAGAATATATATAATATATATCATAATATATATATTATATAGGCTTCATATATACAATAAATATAATATATATCATTTATATTATATATAATGTATAGAAAATATAATATATATATATTATAATAATACATATCATACTAATACATATAATACATATAATAGATATAATACATATAATACATATAATACATATAATACATATCATACTAATATATATACAATATATAATATTTAAAACACATATAATATATATAATATATAATATTTACAATACATATAATACACATAGTATGTATAATATGTATAATATATATAATATATATATATATAATATATATAATACATATAATACATATAATACATATAATGCATATAATACATATAATACATAATATATATATATAATATTATATACATTATATATATAATATACAGAATATACATAATATGCATAATATATATATATCATATATAATATATAATATATAATATAGAATATAGAATAAATAATATATAATAACAATGTATAATATATATATATATATATGATATATAGTATATAATATAATATATGATAATATATATAATATACATGATCTATATAATAGAATATATATAATATATATAAAATATTATATATAAAATGTAATATATATAATATATACTCTGCACTATTTAACGTAGTAGTCCGATTTGAGCAAATTACAATCCGATGGCTACGTTTGTTAGCACCGACAACGTCCAACGGCTAACTTTTATTTTTTGGTTTTGGAGCTAGAATTTCACGTTCCACAAAACATGTCCGTTGCCATTGCACCCAATAGCTATGTTAGTGATGCCTCCCACTAGCTATGTTAAGGATGCGTTTTTTTTTTGAGGGGAAGCTTTTCTGCACTATTTTGGCCAATAAGCATAGCTATAGGGACCCCTGCCAATAGCTATATTTAGTGCACTTTGCAACGATGTTATATAAAATGGTTCAACAAATAGCTATGGTAATTAAGTGTGATTTTCTAGTGGCAATCGTTTTGGATTTTGCCCGATCCTTTGCAGCTGTGCACTGATCAAACCCAGACAGCCCACGAGAGGAAACGATTGTAGTATATAACATATAACATATAACATATAATATATAATATATAGTATATAATATATAATATATAATATATACTATATAACTTACTTGTTCTCTATACTTTCACAAGTGAGCGTGGCCTAGGAGTGTATATCTTTTAATTCGAAGCTAGTTAGTGCCTACGACCTTTAGCGATGACCAGGTTGGAGGTTATGGAAAAAAAATATAGTATATAATATATAATATATAATATATAATATATAATATATAATTTATATCACATATAGCAGATAACATATGAGAATAATATATAATATACTATTGGGGATCCACTTGCTTGATGACATTTGGCAAAGTTGAACTTTCTCAGGTCGCAGATGAGGCTATATGAGCTGTATGCTTTATCTCTTCCTCTCTTCGTGTGCAGCCCCCAGCAGGTCCTGGCGTGGTACACAGACAGTTCCTGCGTTGAACCAGTCCAGTGACGGTGAGGCCTGAGCGTAGGCAGTTGCCGAGCTACATCTACCGTGGTCTCACCACCATTGAGGCTGAATGATGTGGCATGTGGTACAGAAGCATTGGATGTGCCAAGGAACCACAACCAAACATTATATCAATGTATTTACACGTTGCATCAAATTGTGATGTTAATTGATGTTATGTACATAAACCGTACATATATATATATTCATATATATATATACAGATCATTTGATATCAGTCGGACATATTATTTGTACTTTGTGACTTTGTATTATTTGATGAGAATGTCAATATATGTGACCTGAATCTATCCTTGACGTCCGTCAAGCAGCGGCAACGGGCTGCCGCCATGGCCGGCAACGAGGATTTTAACCACGTGCTGACCGATGCAGGCTTAGGAGGCTCTGGGCTTGACCTTGCCTGGGAGAAAATGTTACTTGTAGGATATTTCAGATCTGGATATAATTCTAGTATTCTAGTGTGTTAATGTTTCTATTTTATAGTGATTTTGGTAACACATCTAATTCTGGCTTGGCACAGCGAGACAATCTTGAATCATTCTAAAGTGATCTGAAATCATTTTGAATCTCAGGCAGCAGCTTCAACCGAGAAACCACACAGTGCAAGGCAAGGGCTGGCGAAACTCTGACATCTCTGGGCCACACCTGGACTACAATCCGAGCTGACCTCAGTAGCTGAAGGCGCTTGACACTGACAACCTGCAGATCTAACATTAGCATAAATTGCCCCTAGAATTTTTGCGGAGTTTGCTCTGTCAAAATTCTACATGCCAATCATCTCTACTACTTTAATTGATGTCCATGGTCGAGAATGCAGTGGTTGAATTCGCCCTGTTTGATGCGAATTCAGTGGCTCTAGCTCGCTTGCAACTTGCACTCTGCCGACAATCTCAACGATCGCTTTCTGTTTGATTCAACATGGCCCTTCCTATGAAGAAGTCCGTGATGAAGAGCATGAAGGCAATGAAAAAGACCACCACCATGAAGAGCATGAAGGCAATGAAGAAGAAGGCAGTGAGCAAAATTGCCAGGGGAAAATTGGCAAAGGTCGTGGTCTTCAAGGGCAACAAAGAGAAGACTGCATCTGGGCACAAGAAATCCGATCTGATGATCAACAAGCGAAACAAGATTGTGACCAAGAAGAAGAATGCTGCAGGCAAGAAGTCCTACCAATACATCTCCGCCTGGACCACTGCAACTATCAAGGCTAGGAAGGAGCTGGACATCAAAGGCTTCTGCGCGGTGGGCGGAAAGACAGCACAGGGCAAGGCTCTCTATGCCAAGGCCAAGGCGATCTATGCCGCCGCCTGAACATGAGAGAATCAGATAGACATAGGCACCTTCAGCTTGCGTGGTAGTTCACGGAGATTTGAACATGCCTTGATCTTCACTCTCACAGATTTGAGCTTGGCATGTACAGCCATTTTAGCCAAGCGATGGCCTACCCCAGCCTCAGGCATGCAACGTGTGAGGAAATTGGACGGGCGAAAGCGATGGAGTATTCGATTGATGTTCATTCTCCAGGTTCTTGAGTCTTTCAGAACACTATAAACACAGTGTGTTTTCCGAACATTTCTGGTATGCAGCTTTCGAATAGAATGATTCCTATGATTCCCACGATGCGTTTCTTTTTTTGTCTTTTTTTAAAGTCTTTGTGTACAAGTATGCATAAGTCTTTCTGTCCATTTCTTGCAGGAACATTTTGATTGAAGCTTTTGCGGACTATGCAATCCTGTGCGGAGGGTACTGGTGGAGTACGAGATGTACACTCTGACATTTAAAGATTGATGGCAGTTTCAAGATTGACATTCTGATTGATATCATTTACTGTAGATTCTGTAGATGATTGTTTTCAATTGAAATGGCTCCAGCTCGCTTGCAACTTGCACTCTGCCGACAATCTCAACGATCGCTTTCTGTTTGATTCAACATGGCCCTTCCTATGAAGAAGTCCGTCATGAAGAGCATGAAGGCAATGAAAAAGACCACCACGATGAAGAGCATGAAGGCAATGAAGAAGAAGGCAGTGAGCAAGATTGCTAAGGGAAAATTGGCAAAGGTCGTGGTCTTCAAGGGCAACAAAGAGAAGACTGCATCTGGGCACAAGAAATCCGATCTGATGATCAACAAGCGAAACAAGATTGTGACCAAGAAGAAGAATGCTGCCGGCAAGAAGTCCTACCAATACATCTCCGCCTGGACCACTGCAACTATCAAGGCTAGGAAGGAGCTGGACATCAAAGGCTTCTGCGCGGTGGGCGGAAAGACAGCACAGGGCAAGGCTCTCTATGCCAAGGCCAAGGCGATCTATGCCGCCGCATGAACATGAGAGAATCAGATAGACATAGGCACCTTCAGCTTGCGTGGTAGTTCACGGAGATTTGAACGTGCCTTGATCTTCACTCTCACAGATTTGAGCTTGGCATGTACAGCCATTTTAGCCAAGCGATGGCCTACCCCAGCCTCAGGCATGCAACGTGTGAGGAAATTGGACGGGCGAAAGCGATGGAGTATTCGATTGATGTTCATTCTCCAGGTTCTTGAGTCTTTCAGAACACTATAAACACAGTGTGTTTTCCGAACATTTCTGGTATGCAGCTTTCGAATAGAATGATTCCTATGATTCCCACGATGCGTTTCTTTTTTTGTCTTTTTTTAAAGTCTTTGTGTACAAGTATGCATAAGTCTTTCTGTCCATTTCTTGCAGGAACATTTTGATTGAAGCTTTTGCGGACTATGCAATCCTGTGCGGAGGGTACTGGTGGAGTACGAGATGTACACTCTGACATTTAAAGATTGATGGCAGTTTCAAGATTGACATTCTGATTGATATCATTTACTGTAGATTCTGTAGATGATTGTTTTCAATTGAAATGGCTCCAGCTCGCTTGCAACTTGCACTCTGCCGACAATCTCAACGATCGCTTTCTGTTTGATTCAACATGGCCCTTCCTATGAAGAAGTCCGTGATGAAGAGCATGAAGGCAATGAAAAAGACCACCACGATGAAGAGCATGAAGGCAATGAAGAAGAAGGCAGTGAGCAAGATTGCCAGGGGAAAATTGGCAAAGGTCGTGGTCTTCAAGGGCAACAAAGAGAAGACTGCATCTGGGCACAAGAAATCCGATCTGATGATCAACAAGCGAAACAAGATTGTGACCAAGAAGAAGAATGCTGCCGGCAAGAAGTCCTACCAATACATCTCCGCCTGGACCACTGCAACTATCAAGGCTAGGAAGGAGCTGGACATCAAAGGCTTCTGCGCGGTGGGCGGAAAGACAGCACAGGGCAAGGCTCTCTATGCCAAGGCC